AAAAAAAAGGGGGGGGGGGGGCAATTCCCAATTAAACCAGAGACAGTTTTTGTTATCATCAGTGCATGTCTGTCTCGTAGTTGTGTGGAGAAAAAAGCAGTCAGTTGCAACAGACCTTGCAGAACCTTGCAGAACAGCAGCAGGCCTCCTTCTTTTCATTTTTCCCCCCAGGATGAGGGGTTTTATCAAAATGTAGGCTGAACCGCAAGGACTCGAGTTTTGAGGTCTGTGGCCTTAAACATCATGCCATGTTTGAATAAGTAACTCCTTTATGTATCACTGTGGGATTTGATTATGCCTTGTAAAACAACAACAACACAGCACAGGTGCAGTCCTGTCATTTATTAATAGGTTATATAAAGGATTGCTGTAATGATTGACAATCTTCAGGTTTACTTACAACAAAGTCCTCCTCTGTTTAAAATAGATGTCGGTGTTTTCATAATTAGGACATTTGAAGTCTTTACTTATTGACAAGGTCAGTTTCTCAGGGACTGCTGCCTAAAAAAAAGGCTCCTGTGCTTGACGTGTGCTTGTTTGCTTTTTTGCTTGCATGCCTGCGTGTTTTGCGGTGATGTCACAGCTTTGTTATAGAAACAGAGAAGCCTTGTGTCTTCATGATTAATTCATGTCCAGCTGCGGGATGGGGACAGAAGCGTTCCAGTCACACATAAAGGAAGGAGACGTACATGTAGGTAACTACTGGGTACGGGTGTAGATTTAAAAGACGGAGGCAAAATGTAGCTTAAAAAAAAAAAAGGCAAATCAAACAGGAAGGGGGACGCGGAGGGGGCGTCTGATCACCATGTGACGAGCTTTCGTGGCTGTAGTGGGGAGGAGTAGAGAGCATCCTGCTGGGAGAAGTGCATCTGCTGTGTGCCTCAGTCCCCTGCATCCTTCGCTGGCTTCACTCTGAATGTCAAGCCCCAGTGAGCAGAACAGGATCCAGGTCGTCATGGAGACAGGAACAGAGGCAGGTAGTCACTGTGGCTTGGCCGGGCCAGCTGAGGGGAGAAGGACGCCCTCTGTCGTCAGCTGATGGCATCAGGCCCACACAGGAAGGGGAGTGGGTGGTGACGATAAGGTTTATATACGGTGGATCCTAAGTACGCCCTTACTGTCAAATTGTAACTATCAAAATAATTTAAAAAATACAACAACAACTTTGTCCACCTTTAAAGTGATACAAATTCTGAATATGAAATCATAAACAAATTTATTAATGGAAATACCACACCATAGCAAAGAAAAAATAGTGACTTATTTCTCACTTGGGCCCTGAAAAGGTTTTCTATTGATTTCATGCATGTAGTTAATGGGTTGAGAAGGCATTTACTGGTTAGTACTGAGGATTAGGAGACTAGTCTATGTGCTTTGGAATGAGGGGTATACGGATAGCAGAACCACCACTGAGCAGGAGGCTTTGGATCCGAAATAACCAGAATTTGAAACTCTTCATAATTTCATCAACCCGCTACCACCACGCCTTGTGTTTCTTTGGTGATCGTTAGTGTTATTTATACACTAAACATGCCTTTGGGTTGTTTGGTTTTGTTTATTCGGACAATGACACTTTCTCTCACAAAACATTTGAAGACTGTAGCTGCCTGGTGTCACTGGAAGAAAAGAGTAATCTGCAGCGCTATTCCTTAATCAGGATGTATAGAAAACAGTAGAGATAGTTATGAAAATTCCTACAACATGCCTTTATTTCAGGTTAATTCGACTCACAATAAAGGCTGAAATTAAATCAAAAGTAATTAATTTGTCTACATTAATGCAACCAGGTTGGTGTGCCTTTATTTATCTTTTTGGATTTTTCCACCTAACTTATATTTTTAGTTTAATTGTATAACAACAAATATGTAACATTGAAGGTAGAAAAAGTTTTGGAATGATTTATTATGGTGCATTTTTTTATTTTTACATTTGAACAGGGTTGTGTAAACTATTGAGAGGCAGTGGAGAGCTGCTGTAGATCTGAGTAGACTCTCCCCTTTAGCTTCAGGGAGCCCCAATGCTCAGCTTAGTGCTTTATTTCAGGATCTTGCTTGAGGCAAGTTCTTAGTGCCTCCACTGAACATGGAGTGTGTATAAATCCAGCCTGTCACTTTCCTTTGTTCTCCCCTTGCAGCATTTGCAGCATCCATCCGTCCCTCCTGTTTGCCGGTTGCTTTGTGTCTGTTTACACATCCCCGTTGATCTCTTTTACCGTTCTTCAAATCTCTTTCTCTGCCTCCGCTGCTCCCTGCCTCCTGCTGACTTTGCCTCTGCTTTTCTCAATCCCACTTTCTCTGATCTGAGTCCTCTCTCTGCCTCAATCCCATATAATTCCCTCTCTGTGGAATTGGAAGATTGGAGCAGGCGAGAGCAAAAGAGAGATTATACCGTCAGATTAGCGGACAGGAGCTGCAATACATAATCTCGGCAGGCTCTCACGCACGCACGCGCTTAGCGCAGACACGTGCACAAGGCATTTGCCACATGAATAATTTCGCAAGCGCATAATGAGACGCTCGTTTTCCTGAAACAGCTGTTGAGCATTCCTGCTGTGCCCTTTGACCTGCAGGGCTATGTGCCATCAGCCGCTGGAGGGCTTCTGTCCTCTCTGCAACCTATTCAACGTCTGAGGCCTATGGGATAGGAGTGTGTGCCCCTTCCCGTCCCTGCAGCCCAACTGGAGTCATTTGTGCCAAAGCTGAGCTGCGCCGAAGGAGAAGCGATGGGGAGCCCCGGCTGCGACGTAGACGCAGTCAAGCCCTCGGAGCCGCCCCTGGAGGCCGCGTGTCCAGAGTGTGGCCAGATCCACCGCAGCTGGGAGAACCACCTTTACAATTACCGCCTGGAGGTGGACGACGACCTTGTGTGCCACATCTGCCTGCAGCCGCTGGTGCAGCCGCTCGACACACCGTGCGGACACACCTTCTGCGCCCGCTGCCTGCGCAGCTTCCTCCAGGAAAGGGATTTCTGCCCTCTGGACCGGACAAGGCTGCAGCTGCAGGCATGCCGCAGATCCAGCATCCTGGTGCACAAGCTGCTAGACAAGCTGTCCGTGACCTGCCCTTTGAGTCCCGTCTGCTCCCTCAGCATGCCTCGATGTGACCTGGAGGCGCACCTCAAGCACAGGTAATAAAGCTGATGTAATTAACTTATAAATCAAGTGACGGATTGATGCAAGCTGGATACACATAGGTCAGACATTACGTATGCCTGTCAATTGGTATTTCATAAACAATTTAGAGATAAGGAGATTTCTGTTTTATGGCAGTCTGTAAGATATCTACAAAATACTTTACTAGTTTGGCAGTTAAGTGCTTGCTAAGCGCTGACAGCAGAGATACCATAATTATATTTTCTTTAGAGTAAAAATTTGCCAAAACTATCAATAGAAGTTTTTTTTTTTTTTATTCTCTGGGATGATGGTGACCCTGCCCTGAATGTACTACCGCACACAGGTTAAACAAAGCCCTCTATGCAATAAGTCTGTACAATAATTTACCCTCATTAGGTCAGCCAAATGGTGGTATACATCAAGAAGCAGTCTTTGGTCCCAAAACTAATCACTATCTATTTGCATGCATTTCTTTTGGATAACCTCTTCACTGTAATGATAATAATTTCCTTTTCTATGCAGATGATATTCAACTACATGTGCCTAAAAAAAAAACTACATGCCCTCAGTGATACTAAACCTTCTTTTTCTGATACATTGGTCAACCTGGGATTTTTTTTTCAAATACAGTGATGATTAGTCATGATCAGATTCTTGCACTTAGAGATCACTGTGTGCGGGGCTCCCCACCAGGACCCCAGCAGCGGAAAGGCGCACATGTCTCCAAACTCCGCATTGGATGGTTGCTTGGAGACCGGATGAAGCTGCGAATTCATCTGGTTGCAGTTCAAGCTGCTGATAAGCAGCTGAACATGCATATTTGCGTCTCTGCAGCAAAGCTAAAACTGATTCAGAAACCTCTCACATATACTTAGGAAAAAGATGGAGATTGTGAGGAATCTTTCTAGTCCAGATCTGCCACGTTTAGTGGTGGTGTTGCAGTAGGATGACTTAGAAAGCAGTATGGAAGATTAGATTAGGTTATTATACCAGCACTCGACTCGACATACCGAAATACCTCATCCTTTCTTGTGGAATGTCATTGTTGTTGTCGAAATAAAACTCGTCTACCAATAAAAAAAAATAAGTAAAATAATGATTTTAATGTTGCAAACTGCCTGCCTGAACTATTCAGTCTCCATTGTCTTTTTTTTTTTTTTACCAGTATCTAAGAATCAGATAGCTTTACCCACGTTACCTTTAACTTCTACACACTTTGGCTGTCGACCCATTTGGACCAGGTGCTGTCAGACCCAGAAGGGATTATTGAGCTGCGGGTCATGTGATGGAGGATTAGTGGTTCCCTACTGCAGTCATAGGTTGGCTGGCCAGCAGGTTCATGTTCTCATTTCACAACTATGCTGGGCAACTTCAACACCAGAGATCTTTTCAACCACTTCTTCTGTGAAACGGCCAAGGGCAACCCAGGCCTGTGGTGAGTGGCACACGGTGGTGATGTGATGACAGTCCTGGGGATATAGCAGAATCTATTTCTTCCTGGTGTCCACTTGAGTTTATTCTCTTTTATTTTGTACTTGGTTTGACTGTTTTGATTATTGCATTTCTCTATAGAACACAGGTTGGTATGTGTTTGCCAATTTCCTTAATCCATCTAGTTTGCTGTAGGATATTCAGATATGAAAATAGGTAATGTACATTGTGCAAATGTGTAAATATCATATTGAAATATAAAGATATTGTATTTAAGGATAAGAGTAGACTTGATCAATGGTGTTACCTCTTGCTGTACGCATGAGTGTTTGACACTGGATTACCACTGCCAGCCTAACGCCACACTGAAGTTGAGGATGTGTTCCTTAAGAAGCTTAGCATGCCGTCTGTACCAGTATGATAGAAGCGGCTGTGAAACAGGTGCTTTAATAGGAGAGCTGTTGATTTTTCATTTAACCAAGACTGTGCCCTCTTGTGCCGTCTCCTGTATTCAGAAACTAGCATGGTCTGCATTTCTCAGGTGTGACTTTGAAACACTCTTCCAAAGAAACTGTCTTCAAATCTTAAGTGTTCTGATCTTTAATGTTCTAATTTGGTGATTGAACTTGTCATTTCAACAGCTGAACTTTCTTTCCCTGAAACCAAATTAGGGTTTCCTTGAGATCATTTTGTCACGCACAAAGTCACACTCTCGTTTCATCTTTAGATTCTAGTTAATATCTTGGTAAATATGCAAATACATCATCCCTTCAGTTACACGGTCATCGTCACATCATGATGTTCACACCTTCAAGACTCACTTTTAGTGTGGCTTTTGTTTTGGTGATGGCCAGTGACATCAAAATATTTTAACTTTAGTCACGTTTGACCAGACCATACTCCCCCTTGCTTGTCCAATACTCTCCAGCGAGCGTTAAACAAACTTCAATCATGAGTGGAGTCTTGTGCTGTGAGTGTGTAATGTGGAATTTGAGTGCATTACTTCTTGTTTCTCTTACTTTTTGACTCTTTAGACAGAGGAGCAACTAGTTGTTTTGTGGTGAAATTCTGTTAGTTCCACTTCTGGATTATGGCTTCGACTGTGGTCAGTGGAATATTGAGAAGTTCAGAAAAGATTGTCTCTTCGGTATGTCTCGTAACAATAAGGTTGCAGATTATCAATTACTACCAAACTAGCCATTTTGCCCTGATTGCTTTCCAAATATTGGTAGAACTAATTTTCACGTTTGTTTGTTTTTTTTTCCTTTGGTTTTTAAAGCCTATTTTGACTAGGTATTCAGTAACTATTTGCTGTATGATTCTCGCTTAACACCTTCACCCTAATCATGGACCCGGTGAGAATTTTATGACATTTATCCAAAATGTCGACGTGTTCAATACTTATTTTCTCTGTTGCATGTTGAGATGTCAAGAAGGGATGATGTAAGACAGACATTTTTAAGTAAAGATTACTCTCTGGCCCCACGTGGGTTCCACACACGCTTACCCTGCTGCCGTAAGAAGCTAATCGGAGCCAAGAGTCTGCAGTCCACATGTGACATTGAGAGTCAGTGTTGTTTATGTTGCGGATTAGAACACAGGACAACAGGGCAGAAGATCTACCAAAATGCAACATTTTATTTGTGGACTTGTTTGATATTGGTACCAAAAAAGTGTCTTCTTTAAGGTTTTCTTAATTATTATCTGACGCATCTTTTGATTGAAAACAGGGTATCTAGTGCTTTTCCTACTATCCTTGCACAAAGTTCCTTTGAATGTTTCTCAGCAGACCTTTGTTATGTTGCATCACCCACCTGTATACCACTTGAAGTAAAGACTGCAGGGTCAAACAAGGATGTGAACGGTCTAATCCTTTGAGTCTATTTGTTGGTGTGTATTTTTAAAGAAGGGTCTCTCCTCACATTAGCAGCTTTGATCTTTTCATATCCAACCTTTTCAAGCACATAAAGCAGGTGTCTGCATATAAGGGGATGGATACAATTTAACGGTTTTTATTTATTATCGAATCCAAATTAATTGCATTTCTCACCTCTTTCTGGTTCTTTATTGTCATCAAGAAGTTTCTACCAGCTAGCCACAAACTTTGACATCTCACTTACAATTATTCTGACTTTGTGCATCACAAGCAGTGAGTCAGGTTTTTGCAAACAGCGTGCAAATGCATCACGCTTGAAATATTACTGTGCCAAATATCGCATCCAGAGAGTCCTTTGCTGTTGCACGTGATGATATTATGATGACAACTGTGATTCGATGCGAGAGCTCCAACCCAGGGCCATTTTTAAATGTACCCATGTATGTCACAGGGTTTATTTAGCATTCCTATTTAAAATGAACCACAGTTGAATGTGATTGAACTTTATTAGGACAAACATTTACAGTTTTTTCTAAAGTAAAAAAAAACTGCACAATCCATTAGTGATCATTTCTCTGATTCCCATCAGTGTGCATTTAAGGCCATATTTCTGCAGGAACTTTTTCCAGGAAAGGTGGTTTTCCATTATTAATACCCTTTTTTATTTTATTATTATTATGCATGATTATTTTTCAATTGCCTTGTGTTTTCCTCCACAAGGAATTTTGATTCAGATTTTTTTCATTGCATTTACCAGTATAAAAACACAGAGAGAGACGCTGGTAGGAAGGTAGTGCTTTTTATTTTTGGGTGGAAATTTTTTGGTAAAGTTCTTCTAAGCACATCAAAATGTTGCTGTTTTTATTTCCAACATAACAGTTTATTCATATTTGGGTTTTAAACCCATTATGTCAAGTTACATTCTGACTTGGAAGCGATTATAATCCAGCTTCACAGTGTAAATGCTGTGAGTCGTCTACAAATTTAGACGAAGTGACCATAGCTGTCACTTCTCTTCAGGATAACACAACACGGAAGATTGTTTTGAAATATCTTTAAAATTTGTTTGAGTTGCGCCATTTTTCTTACATTTGTTGTGGCCCTACATAAGTCATACCACTACATACCACTGTTGCCAGAATTATCAAAAATAGTTTTGTCTTGCTCCCATCTTGCAATTGAAGTTACAAGAGTGGAGTCTGAGGTAAAGCTTAGAAGAATGGACATGCATTATGAACTGTATTGTCTAGAAAACACTGACTCATAAAGAAAAAGTCAGTGTAAAGGAGATTTTGCCTAAAATTTTCCAAGGACAAAATATATCATACTTTGAAAATGCTGTAAACTTTGCCCTTTTCACACCTGACCAAAACCATTACAAAGAAAACATTATGAATCGACCAAAACATGAGCAGGTGAAGGATCTCGCCAAACAATTGAAGCAAACCATTTGGCATTTCCAAGAAGACAAGAAAACAACCCACACCATGAAGCTAATATTTTCAGAGAGAAAGCATCCACAACTCCAAATTGAACAGAATCTAATTCAGGAAAGTAGCAGAAAAAAAAATATGCTGGTTAGAATGAGTCAAATTAATGCTTGTCTTCACTCTGAAATAGGTCCAGCTTTTCAGCATAGAAACTGATGCAGAATTCAACACCAATTTGTTGGGAAAGGATTTCTCAGTCTATGCTTTACTTCTCTTTAATTCGGATCCATGCAGTTTTACTTAAAATGGCGTCAAATTACAACAAGACTCAAAGAACCTACCGAGTAAAATAAGTCCAACTCATAACCAGTTGTATAGTTGTCAAAAAAAATCTGTTACAAATAGAGGAATCTGATGGTATAACAGACCCGTTTCTCGGTGAAAGGTGTCCTGGGACTCAGTGTCAGCAGACGACTGTGGACGGGCCACGGTGCGAGAGCGGCGATGAGCGAGCCATGGTGACCACGCCTCCCATGTCGCCTCACTCCCCGCAGACAGACCTGAGAGACCGCTCGCCTTCGCCGCACTCCGGCCCCACTACCGCCTGCAGCAACGGATCTGCGTGGACCGACGACACCGGCCTCGACAACCCTGCGTTTGAAGAAAGCAATGAAGAAGACAGTGAGCTGATCCTCCAGCCTCCCTCCGAGTGACGGCAGATGACAAGCTAAGACTTAACTCTTTGTGTTCCTGCCTGTTCCCAGGTGTGGTGGGGTTGGAGTGTGTGGTGCCCAGGGTGAAGCGGCCCCTCAGCAACCCCTGCATCCATCTCCTCCGCTCCGTCAGCTCCACCTCCTCCGGCTGGGACTGCCCTGAGTCTCCACCTCTGTCTGCAGAGGAAGGTAGGTCATCCTTCTTTTCTCTGGACACGCTTGTCTTTGGTGAAAGCGACCTACAGCTGTTTGGTTTGTCTTTTAGGCTGCGTGAAGTTGCCCTCCCTTCCCGAAGGAGAGATAACGACCATAGAGGTCCACAGAGCCAATCCATACATTGAGCTGGGTATCAGCATCGTGGGCGGAAACGAGACGCCTCTCATCAACATAGTGATCCAGGAGGTGTACCGAGATGGGGTCATTGCACGAGACGGGAGACTGCTGGCTGGAGATCAGATACTGCAGGTGAGGGATCAGCTTCTGCTCATCATTTATAAAACATTCACTTTTTCTATAAAAAAAAGGAAGATTCCCCTGTTAGAATGGCCTAATCAAAGTCAAGACCTTAAAGCAATTGAGAACCTGTGGCAAAGTTTACCCCAAAAGACTTGCAGCCATTGAAGAGGAAGCATGTCTCACTTAAACTCAGAAATAAGCTAACTTCAGATAGTGGCAGTGATTTTAAAGAGGCAGTATCATGTAGATTGTAGGCACATAGTTCCATTTTATTGCACAATAAAGTAACTGTGTTATCTTCAGTTGTCAATGAAATTGCGCCTCTGTCTCTTTAAGAAGCTTTTGCTCTGACACTCCGCCTTCAGCTTGTCGTCACAACAGTCTTCCTCCATGATGCCGTTTACAATGTTTCTAGGAGTGCTGCACTAAAATGTAGTTTGTGTGATAAGCTCAGCAGAGGCGCAATCCAATCAGGTGTTTGCTAATTGCTGCTGCCGCGAGTCTGGAGGAGCTGACAGCTCCATACAGCTCCAAGGAGGAGATGTGTATAAATAATCAGCGCTTTGTGAGAGCAAGCGTTTAGGCACACTGGATGGCTGCCAGGGGAGATTAAAGGACTTTTAAAATATGCATGAAAGAATAAAGGCAACAAATACATGTCAAAAAATGTTTAACAGCTTAAAGAATATATATTCACAATGAATGTATTCATTGTTTAGGAGCAGAGATAAAAGATAGCATATTAATCATTAATTCCTATTGAGGATAAAAATGTATTTATATTAACGCACATCTGCTCTGATGAATTTGTTTACAAGGTGAACAATGTGGACATCAGTAACGTCCCACACAGTTTTGCCCGCTCCACCCTGGCGCGGCCCTGCACCACCCTGCAGCTGACCGTGCTGAGGGAGCGCCGCTGTGCCTCCAGGGCTCCTCCCTCCTCCTCCTCCTCATCCTCCACCACCCCGGCTGTGCCCCACGCCCCCTGCTCCACGCCCGAGGGTGCCCCCTCCAGCCCCGCCACCCTGAGAATCACGCTTCACAAGCGGGACTCCACGGAGCAGCTCGGCATAAAGCTGGTCCGTCGAACGGACGAGTCAGGGGTGTTTGTGTTGGACCTCTTGGAAGGAGGCCTGGCCGCGAAGGACGGCAGACTGCGGAGCAACGACAGAGTGCTGGCTGTCAACGATCAGGACCTTTGCCACGGCACGCCTGAACAGGCGGCTCAGATCATACAGGTGTGGATGCAGGTTGTTGTGATGGTTAGATTGTTTAGGCATCATCAGAGGAGAAGTAGATTCACAGCACTGTGCAAAAGTCTTACGCTTCCTTGAACAGGTTAGAATAGATCTATGGGCTATGCAAAACACGCTCATTACATTTTGCTCACAAAATCATTTTTAGACAATGAGATTTCAGTCTGTTCAGTTCTGCCGATTTTGAGCTCCTTTCAGAATGAGCTGTTTTAGGGCCTCTTGTCTCTTTAAATCCAAATAGCTGCTGCTGGCCACACACCCAACTCAATGTTTACACTCTCACGTGAAAATGGCTGCAAACAGATGCACAATTATACATCTTTGAAAAGCAGAAGAAGAGCCTTCTGCACAACGAACAAGAATGTAGGAAGTGATTCCTGGATGCTAAGTCAACAACAAAACACTTGTTTTCCAGGAGCCATTGTACAGCGCATAAAGTGGTAAAACCAGTTGACCTAATGTACTTGGGTTGTTAGGTGATGGGCTTGTCTGGGGTTTCTAGGTAACAGCACAGTGTGACTCAACAATCGAGAGGTTTTTGAAATGGCTCATTTTCCAAATACATGCATACAAAAAAAAAAAAAAAAAACTTCTTACCAAAAGGAGCTGGATGGTTTTGTAAGTGCTTGGGTTTTTTTATAAGCAGCTGAGACCCAAAAGGAAGCATAAAAATATGCAAAAATGAAGTTTTGCAAAATAAAACAAATACTAAATAAATAAATCATCAAAATAAATCATTTCTACATATATTTAAATAAAACAGACTTTCTATTAAAATATTGTAAAGCAACTGGTAGTTTTTATAAACTCAGTCAAACTCACATTAGATACAATTTGTCACCGTTTATTCTGTAAGTTTTCAATTTAATCAAGATACTTACGTAGAAATTTTTTTGTTTCAAACAAAGTTCAGATGTATGAGAGGATTGAAACACCATCTCTGTGCTTCTGCAGGCAAGCGGAGAGAGAGTCCACCTCCTGATCGGCCGACCCAACAAACCAACCCCACCCCCACCGCCAAAATCAAGCTCAACCAGAGACCTTTACTGCCTTGATCACTTCCTGCCAAATCACAGCTCTACTCCAAGCCCTGTGCCCGTACACCTATCCCGCACCAGCACTCACAGAGTAAGGTTTTGTGTGTGTGTGTGTGTGTGTGTGTGTGTGTGTGTGTGTGTGTGTGTGTGTGTGTGTGTGTGTGTGTGTGTGTGTGTGTGTGTGTGTGTGCGCATGCGAGTTTTCCCATCTGCACGCTGCATAACTGTATTTTTAGCTTGGAGTCTTGGGAGAAGGATGCGTCTTAGGATGAACTAGAAACGTCTGACTATGTGATTTCTGACATCTCCCAGGATCTGTCCCAGTGTGTGACATGTAAGGAGAAACACATCACTGTGAAGAAGGAACCCCTGGAGTCCCTGGGCATGACCGTGGCAGGAGGCCGGGGCAGCAAGAGCGGGGAGCTGCCGATCTTTGTGACAAGCGTTCAGCCACACGGCTGCTTGTCCCGGGACGGACGAATCAAAAGAGGTGCACCCTCATTTTCAGCGGCCAGGAGTCAGGTACACCTGAGCGTTACCCGAAAAACTCTTTTCTTTGTTTTTTTTTTTCTTTTTTGCTTCCTTCCCCATCAGGTGATGTCCTGCTAAGCATCAATGGTCAGGACCTGACATACCTGAGCCACAGCGAGGCTGTCGGGACGTTGAAGGCCAGCGCCGCTTCGCCCTCAGTGCAGCTGAGAGTGCTGGAGGTCACCATGGTGGAGGAGCACGACCATGACGAGTTGCTGCCTCACGGCCACGACAGCGACTTCGATGCAAACTGGTCTCCCTCGTGGGTCATGTGGCTGGGCCTGCCCAGGTGAGAAAGACCGGCTCTAGCTCTGCCTGTTGATGTTTATCACATAAAATGCCAATAGAATACATTCAGGTTTGTTGTTGCAACAAATGCGGGAAAAGTACCAGGATCCTTTCAACTCTCAACTTTAAAGTAATGCAGCATTTCAAAAGTGTGAGTAGATGACTTTATCCTACATACCTGCACTTTTCTGTTCTTGCAGCTACCTGCACAGTAGCCATGAGATTGTGTTGCGGAGGAGCCATCCCGGGAGCTGGGGCTTCAGCATCGTTGGGGGCTACGAGGAAAGCCACGGCAACCAGGCATTTTTCATCAAGACTATCGTCCTCGGCACGCCTGCATACTACGATGGCCGCCTTAAGTGAGCAATCAGCGATTATTACGCAAATGTTACATAGTTTCACAGAACTTATAAGTTAGTTTCAGGAACTTCCAAATTACTTTACAAAATATATTGCGTACTTATTGTGTAGTTTCTGGAAATTATAGCATATTTTCCATGGATTGCACCGGTTACTTTTTTGATACTTACAAGGTTATTTAAAATATATATATAAAAAAATAAAAAATTCCCCTCTCACCCTCCGTGGGTGGTCTCTTT